AACTAACAAGCAGGCAGTTGTTATGCATTCAACTCACTTACAGGAGAGTATTTGAACGTTCACACATGTACTCTACACAAGAACAAATAACAAGCAGGCAGTTGTTATGCATTCAACTCACATACAGGAGAGAACTTGAACGTTCACACATGTACTCTACACAAGAACAAATAACAAGCAGGCAGTTGTTATGCATTCAACTCACTTACAGGAGAGTACTTGAACGTTCACATGTATTCCACACAAGAACAACCAACCGGCTGTCAGTTGTTATGCATTCAACTCACTTACAGGAGAGTACTTGAACGTTCACATGTATTCCACACAAGAACAACCAACCGGCTGTCAGTTGTTATGCATTCAACTCACATACAGGAGAGTACTTGAACGTTCACACATGTATTCTACACAAGAACAACTAACAAGCAGGCAGTTGTTATGCATTCAACTCACTTACAGGAGAGTACTTGAACGTTCACACATGTATTCTACACAAGAACAACTAACAAACAGGCAGTTGTTATGCATTCAACTCACTTACAGGAGAGTACTTGAACGTTCACACATGTACTCTACACAAGAACAAATAACAAGCAGTCAGTTGTTATGCATTCAACTCACATACAGGAGAGAACTTGAACGTTCACACATGTACTCTACACAAGAACAAATAACAAGCAGGCAGTTGTTATGCATTCAACTCACTTACAGGAGAGTACTTGAACGTTCACACATGTATTCTACACAAGAACAACTAACAAGCAGGCAGTTGTTATGCATTCAACTCACTTACAGGAGAGTACTTGAACGTTCACATGTATTCCACACAAGAACAACCAACCGGCTGTCAGTTGTTATGCATTCAACTCACTTACAGGAGAGTACTTGAACGTTCACATGTATTCCACACAAGAACAACCAACCGGCTGTCAGTTGTTATGCATTCAACTCACTTACAGGAGAGTACTTGAACGTTCACATGTATTCCACACAAGAACAACCAACCGGCTGTCAGTTGTTATGCATTCAACTCACATACAGGAGAGTACTTGAACGTTCACACATGTATTCTACTCAAGAACAAATAACAGGCAGTCAGTTGCTATGCACACAACATAAAAACAGGAGAGTACTTGAACGCTCACCAATGGACACAAGAACTAACACCCAGTCAGTTGCTATGCATTCAACATACATTTGGTAGACAACTCGAACGTTAACACATGTACTGGACACAAGAACTTACAGGCAAACAGCTGATATGCACACAACATACAAACAGGAGAGAACGTTCACCGACACAAGAACAAACAGACAGTCAGGTACTTACGTGAGACAAAGACGGAGTTGAGTTAAGATGCGTGACACGAGATGCTTTATACTCATCACACGACAACACCTTGCAGATTCATCAAACGATTTTTGATTAGAATCAATATCTAATCAAATGCCCGGTTCATGCAATTAAGTCTGTGAATGGAGCTGTCTGTGTATCATCTATACAATTAAACCATTTGCTGACCCATGAAGACCCGGGGTTGAAAAGGTCACCAGCAACCCATGCTTGCCGTAAAAGGCGACTATGCTTCTCGTAAGAGGCGACTAACGGGATCGGGTGATCAGGCTCGCTGACTTGGTTGATGCATGCTCATGATGCCAATCACTTGTTTGTCTGGTCTAGTCTCGAATATTTACAGACCACCGTCATATCGCTGGGGTATTGTTGAGTGCGGCGTTAAACAACAGACAAACAAACAAAAAACGTTTGTTTTATTTTAGACATCATTAAATATGGGTGTATACTTTTTTTTGTCCGGAGATTTATTTTGCAGATGGTAGAGTTTCGTCATTAAGACGCGTATTTAAGAAAGAACATCAAATTCTTATAAATATGATCCTGATATGATCGTACATATGACTGTGATCGTGATAACTGCATTTATAAATACAGCCTTGACGTGGGGTATTTTCCAAGCGCCTCTTCTCTATTGATGTTGGTCTTGGTTAATATCGTAATAATGAAAATGCTTAATCCCTTGGAGACTCGTGTAAGTGGATGTTGGTTTTGTGCCCAGCAATACGCGTGCGATACCACGGTATTCAATGTTTGTAGAACCAGGAATACCAGTGTTTGATAGCATGAGCAACAACCCACGCCGCCGGTGTGAGATGTCACACGTACTAATCCACGTTAAGTTTTGGAAATACCAAACGTTCATACAAGTCACACAAGGTGAGGGGTATATGTTCTGATAATTTGTTTCGTAAATTAAAGAACTCTGGAGAGTAGTATAGATGATGGGGGTTCTGGCTCACTTCCACTAGAGCCGGAACCCCCATCATCTATACTACTCTTGAGTATCAAGGAAAACAGAACCGGTGTAGGAGGTATATAGGGTGAGACCTGAAAAGGGGATGAGAGCGGAAATGTGGTGAAATTGTTTATTAAATAGATTATCAGGGTCTGTGCAGAGGACTACGCCGCTTCATAGGATCGTTATACTGGTGTCACATACATAAGTTGTATGGGGGGCACGGGTGGTCCAGTCGTCTAAGGCGCCGCGATTCGCTGTGCAGAGTTGCGTCCCTTGGGCACGCCAGAAACCTATGATTGTGGGTTCGAATCCCGGTTCGCCCCGATTATGTTTCAAAGTGGTAAACGTCTGAGACCTGCATCACTTCGGGCTTTCCTCCCACATTAAGCTGACACGCCGTGATATAACTGGAATACTGTTAAAAGCGGCGTTAAACCCAACTCACTCACTCATAAGGTGTATGACTGGTTTGGTTGGGGAATCCAGACTGCACTTTGTCTCGAGCGAGTAGAACACAACTAAAAGGTGGTGAATCTTACATAAACTTTATTTGTGCATTCAACAATGTATGATGCATACGTCCTCTATGGCATATACAATACATGTGAGATCTACAATAGATGTGAGATATACAATACATGTGAGACATGCAATAGATGTGAGACATACATTAGATGTGAGATATACAATCGGGTGGGATATATAATAGATGTGAGACATACAATAGATGTAAGATATACAATAGATGTGAGATATACAATAGATGTGAGACATACAATAGATGTGAGATATGCAATCGGGTGAGATATATAATAGATGTGAGATATATAATACACGTGAGATATACAATGTCAACAGGAATAGTAGCAAAAGACTCATGTATGTCAACAGTATTCACAACATATTTCGGTGGTATCAATTATTCATAAAGGTTATTTGAAAAAAAAATACATCCATACAATCCTTATTAAAAGTGGAATTAGCAAAATGCGTAATGTATAATTCATCTGTCATAGGGAATACTACACTTATTGGTTAGATACCAGTTTTACAAAACGAGTGGACTTTCTATGGTATCTGACCGAGCGAAAGCAGATACCATAGAAAGTTCATGAGTTACCCACCTTAAATATATATTAAAGTATAAATACATAACATCTTTTGTTCGTTGACAGACCAAACTGAAACCGGCTGCAAAATCTGGTTGCGTATGAATATTGATATATGCCCAAATATGGGCATTGTTGACATTTCTATGCTTACTCATAAACGACATGTTCCTGCAGCTGTGTTTGCAAACAAAACAGCACCGGCGCTCAAGATAAATTTTGAAGAATTTCTTCAACTTGTTGTTAGTACGCAGGATACCTAAAAAAGATTTGAAAGTCACATTAGCGCTGCGCTTTGAATATCGGACCAACGATCGGTCACTTGCACTGCCGATGTCCCGTCTGCGCAATCAAAATGGTTCGGTTTCCTTGATGTATCAGCTGAATTTATATCATGTCCGTTCCATTTATATCAGGTCCGTACCAAACTCAGAGTGTTCGCCAAAGACGTTTATGTTAACTGTACGACCCTGTACTGAAGACGTGAAAATCAACAAACTCATATCTGCGTGCATGTCAGTGACAGCTTCGAACGAAGGGCAAGGCCACCACCGGAATAAAAAAAGACAACCGTGAACTACTCGCAGCGTTTTACGCAAGAGATATAGAATGTTATTGTTCACATTTGGGATATTTTGGGCCACATAATCAGAAGTCGGGCACTCTTCTTCGAGTTTTCGAATGATTTGTATCGGAAATGTTCACTTTGAGTGATCTGGTCGTGAACAAACAACTCCCGAAACAGTGCCACCCTTCGAAGGGGACATTGATGGCACAACCAGATCATCCCAAGTAAGTCTCGATACTTGTCCATATATTTTAAACTGACTTCATTTCACCATGCTTATCCTTTTACGTTAAATCAAATTGAAAGTAGCGAAAGTGGTCGGGTGCATCACGCTCATGGGGACCCTCGATCTTTTAATCGGTAGTCGTACATTGTAAATGGAAATTACTCCATGATATAATGTCTGTAGAAGCTCTATGCATAACTTATACAGAATGCAAACCGAATTGGATGCGTGTGACTATCTTATTTGATTTAATAAAGTGTTTGTAAATAGCTCTCGCTCTCATGAGATTGCTACAGTTTTGCCTTGAAGTTGCGAAAAGAATAACTCTCGATTTTTTATGAATGAAAAAAAGTAGTCCCGGTGTGACAGAGGTCACTGTTATCCAATCCAAACGAATAAAACGAGGTCAACCTTGTACGACACACGTGTGACGTACGGATTTAGTATCTTACCACCTGTATCTTCACCACGTGGATACTCATATATTTTATCTCATACATATAACAGCATAACAACGTTTCTTTGCTGTAATCATTAACTGTACTGATTTTAGATGAGGACTGCGAAACGTGTTTTTAATATTTCCCTTAAATATGAGTGAGCGAGTGAGTTGGGTTTAACGCCGCTTTTAACAGTATTCCAGTTATATCACGGCGTGTCAGCTTAATGTGGGAGGAAAGCCCGAAGTGATGCAGGTCTCAGACGTTTACCACTTCGGTGAAACCCACGAGCACGGGTATGGTGCTGACAACCCTAGAAACATAATCAGGGCGAACCGGGATTCGAAATTCGAACCCACAATCATAGGTATCTTGCGTGCACAAGGGACGCAACTCTGCAAAGCGAATTGCGTCGCCTTAGACGACTGGGCCACCCGTGCCCCCTTTAAATAAGAGTTAAAATCATTTTCACTTGAAACCTATGATTGACCAATCTGAGTGGTCGGTTCGTCTTCAATATTAAACAACTGAACTATACGGTACGTGGATGCGGATGATTTGGATTTCTAAATTAGTCATCGTAGTTGAGGCACAAATTCAATGACTATTACCGACCGCCCGGGCACATGTTAATAGAGAAACATCGTGACACATGCGTGGTTAAATTATCATGCGCCAGATGTAGATGCTGTGGAGGTAGCAAACTTTAATAATCAAAATCATAACCATAATATAATATTCAAAGAATAAGGTAAAGTATGGGATCAGAACTACGTAAGACTGCAGTTGTGAACAGTACTCCAGTTGTATGACAGGCCCACAAATAATTAAGGTGGCAGGAAAGCTCAAGGGGGTTCACATATGACGCGACCATCGGATCCTGGCAGTTAAGGGGACGCTATCCGAAGACTTGTCTCCAATGTCCCGTGAACAACTCTGCATCCAATCTGAATTTACAAAGTATGAAACAAACAGAATAAGGTACGTGTGAGACACGGGCACACTAAGCACAATGACGCTGGTAATATTTGCACCCGGTCCACGGGGCCCATTTCGCGTCCGGAACTTCGGTTTTAACAGCTGATGAGAGGTAACACGCGCCGTTCCAGAGTTCGAAGGTCCTGCAGGTGAAGGAGGAGGTGGTCAAGCAGTGCTGTCTGCATTCGGTGTAGGTGTTGACGTCGTAAATTGCGTTATTGTAGCCGGTGACGCAGTAGGTGGTTGATTGATGGCTGAACTCGCTGCCGTAGTTGTCGCACCCTGAAGAAGAACATACATCAATAAGTGAGTATAGTTTGACCGTGAGGGGGGTTTCACCAAAGGACTAAACGTCAAAGACATGGCCACATCAAGATGCCACGCCTGAAAATGACTGAAATATTGCTCAAAGCAGCGTCAAACCAAACTCCCTCACTCACTCATATACTCAGAGTCTATCATATTCCGGATAGCAATTGCTTATCTTACGAGGGGCGGTCGGGTAGCCTAGTGGTTAAAGCGTTCGCTCGTCACGCCGAAGACCAGGGTTCGATTCCCCAGGGTACAATGTGTGAAACCCATTTTCCGGTGTCCCCTGCCGTGATGTTGATGGAATAATGCTAGAAGCGGCGTAAAGCCATACTCACTCACTCACTCATTCGCTAACCTCACGAATGTTTGAAAGCAATTTGGCCAAGAGACATCAGTTGGTAATTTCAGGGTACCCAGTACCCAATGATTGTCACAAAAGCCGACTGAGATCGGGTGGCCAAGCAGTGACTTGGCTGACGTCTGTCATCCGACCTGTCGCGCGGTTCGCTGCTCATGCCTTTTGTGGTTTGTCTGGTCCATGCTAGACTTATCACCGTACTATAACCACCACATAGTTGTGACGTTAAACACATGCGCACACTCACTCGTTCAAGTGGGTCGGCGAGGGAATATTGTTTTACGCCGCTTTTGTCAATATTCCAGCAAAATCATGGCGGAAGACACCAGACATGTACTTCACACACGTTGGGAATCAAACTCGGGTCTTCGGCGTGACGAGCGAAGGCTTTAACCCCTGGGCTACCCAACCGCTCCCATTCTTTCAAGAGAAAGGGTCATACATTAAATCTAAAGCAATTCTCATCTTAACAGAAAACCCGTATTCAAATATGAAGCACTGTTATATTACTGCTGCAGAATCTCTCTTGAGTTACCATTATTTGACCCTCCTCAAGTCGATTTGGGATAATTCGATAAATCGGTAAGTCTAGTGTTGTGCTGAACTGGTTCATGCTGATATTGTGTGTGTGTATGTAATTCGAGAATATCAATTTATAAGCTGGAAATACCATTTGCGAATACTGATCACATTCTAGCAACCCCCTTTGATCTATTCAAACATTGCCTCCAAGATCCATTTTGTATGTAAATACCACGTGCACGGGTGAAAGTAGTGCCGTTTCCGGTAATCCAGTTTGCATACTCATGTCGTTTGGATGTAACAAACATTTCGTTTTATGCTTTGAACTTATTTCATGGTTTAATGCTTCAGTAAAGGATCGTCCATTTAATAATGGAGGGGAGCGCGGTGTGTGTGTCTGTGTGTGTGACTGTGGAGGAGGGGGTCGACAAGTCAAGAGCTAATTATTTTACAGGGAGCAGGCCTGAGATATGGTTACCGCAGCCGTCTGTACCTGAATTCCTGACATATCAGACCAGTTGATTTATTGTCATCATATAATTGATACCGTTATCGATGCGATAAATCAGTCCGATAAACTTGGTCTCAGTGATTAACATGCAGAAGAGGTACCCGAGGAGCATTCGTGACCAACTCGTGTTATTCCGGGACAAGCCGAATAGCGATTACGGAAAGGGGCGAGTGGTGACGAGTGACCTGATGAGGGACTACTTTGAATACGCTCCATGCATCGGTGCAATGTCAACCTGCTCAATAAACTGTCGTTTCCTGTCTCCTGTACGTTTATCGGATATTTCTCCATGTGAGGATGTTTCTGTTCACACATGTAACTACAAACCGTTTGGCACTACATGACAAACGTGTGGTTCACTCACACATTGTATTCATACGCGGTTTCTGCAGTTACTTCAGTCAAACGTCTTAAACGTAATTTACTTTTAAAATTACATCATATGATCAAGTGATTATTAACCCGTGTCCTATAATAATCACTATTGTTCATTTATATAATATTTTGCATTTCATATTTTAAGACCATTGATCTTCAGCAAACTGTTTTAATAATATCAGTTTTAGTACAATTTGCTGCAACAAGATAGGATAATGTGTAATGATGTTACTGATGACGCAGGTGTTGGAGGTGCCGTTGTAGCTGTAGCCAACGTCACAGTCGCAGAGACCAGAGGAGCAGGTGAAGTTACTTCGGATGCAGCCTGAAGCCTGTGTACATGTTTGTCCTGGAACAAAAATAACGATGCTGTATACTGATGAGGCAATGAGTAGATGCGGGATACCTTTCATGTAAAACCGGGGCGGTCGGGTAGCCTCGTGGTTAAAGACCCGGGTTCGATTCCCGACATGGGTACATTGTGTGAAGCCCATTTCTGGTGTCCCCCGCCGTGATATTGCTGGAATAATGCTAAAAGCGGCGTAAAACAATACTCACTCATGTAAAACCTATGAATTATTTAGGTAAAAAATACGCTTTGATATATTTTCAGGTACTTGCCATGGCAAATTATATTTTGATCTCTGTAACCTCTGCAATTCAAGCTCCTTACTGCGTCGAGAAATGTATGTTAAAGCCGCATTGTTATGTACAATTCAAAACTTTTATTAATTGTGAAACCTGTTTAAAATTCATGCTGTCAGTTAAACTGAAAATTGTTCTTTCCAGATTTCCATTAAGATTTCATGAAGCTAAACTGTATACATGAAATTGTCAGTTATTGCATTGCTGTACGGTGTTAAAGTTCTCAAAGTTGATAGCAGGGTTAAAGCTATGGAAATGCACCTCGAAATGAATAGGATGTTGGTAGTTTCTCTGGGATCTACTTTCCTCTGAGATATTGTAATTAAACGACTGTCAGGTCATACATGTATGTACCCGAAACAATAATTTTGGACAATTCCAAAAGGGTGCGAAATGATGATGGCAACTTTTACCAAGGCTTGAACAGATTTTAAGTGTTCGTTTTTATGGACAGTGCACTTGTGCATGATTTTCAGGTTACAAGGTTAGATTTGTGAGCACCATGCTTGTGCACGTCGGAATGGGTCTTCAGCAAATCATGCTTACTGTAAAAAATGACAATGCTTGTTGTAAGAGGCGACGAACGGGGTCGGATGGTCAGGCTGATTGGTTATTGGCTGGTTGACGCTTGTCATCGTACCCCAACTGCTTGGATCGATGCTCGTGGTGTCAATTAATGGTTTGTCTGGTCCATTCTCGATAATTACTGAGAGCCGTTATACAGCTGGACTATTGCTGAGTGTGGCGTTAAATAAAGAAAAAACCCAATACACACCAAATCCAATATTTATAATTATTCATAACTCGACGAACAGAAAAGAACTGCGGAAAAAACACTCACAAATAGAAAAATCGAGGTCAAATGTACACATCAACTAACGCAGTATATACGTCAACAATTATGCTTTTCAGTTTCCTCCGTGTTTCATATGCAAAGGCACTTGGTTGCTTTTATCAAGAGTCGTGTCCCTTAATCGTGACATGATCCGCTGACAATAGGACTTATACAGATTCAGCTATAATATAGTCCCAATCGAGCTCACGGAGACTTGGAAACCTGCTTCTTTTGAGTCTTTACTAAAACATAGTGATGTGAGTGAGCCACATCTGCAATATCTCAGCCATCAAGGGTTAAACATCATAAATACATGCAGATTATGTAAAACCCTGCCTACGAAGGACAGTAAATTAACTAGACTTATCACAGAATTTTTTTTATAACTAGTATGAAATCATTATAAGGATAGCACTACACATGATAAGAACTGATAAAAAACGGGCAACTGAAGGTAGATCACCATACCAGGGACCATGGGGACTTACAGTACTTAAGCTTCCTGCATGGAACCCAGCAGGATTTACATCATCCCTTCAGTTGTTGGCGATGATTGACAAATTTTGCCCATCGATTAAGAACGTGGCAGAAATTAAACTACTTTGAAAGGTCTTGCATACCCTCTCAGGGGGACAATAATTTTACACTTCTTCAACCCCTTTCGAGGAGCCACTGGCAATCTTGGTTATCCAATTCATTCTACGAATTAAAAAAAGTCCTTGATTATGCACAAAAAATATCAATAAAACATATGAAACAACTCAAGTTCTTTTCAAAAACCTATGATTAAATGAGAACTTATATTAGAAAGATACTTGAAGGGTGGAAGTATTGATCCCTTGTGACGGCAAAATCGATACAGTCAAGCAGGACATGCTAGACTGTGATCCTCTCATCACAAGGGATACAAAATGGAAGATCCTTACCTTTCATTAAATATTCATGTGTATATCTGGAATGGCCAATACGACTTCAAAAGAATTTCGGTTAAAAGTGGACGTTTGCAAGTGTGATTTCTAATTTCCTGAAGACATGATAGGGAGACTGAAAATATAATGAATTGTTTATGTTTTGATTGTTTATTGATATATTGTAGCGCTGTCAATATCGCCTTTGAGTCAGTGTAGTCAATGGTACAAAGTGGTCTGTGTGTCTGTTTTTGTCTGATTTGTTTGATATTTCTTTAAAATTTAGTTAAGGTAAGATTCACCTCTGGTTTTACTAACTGCCATAGTGGAGAAGTCAAAAGCTGAGTGGGGGCTCTATTATCAAGATATATTTTAGCAACAAAAATATGAGATTGTATTCTTATTCCAATTATTATAATAAGAGATGGTGTAAAGTTCGTCGGAAAGAGGATTTAAAACACAGCCATGCACCAGATTTGATTTAGAAGAATGTAATTTAGAAATGTACTGTGAAGACAATTTAATGCGTCGTTATTTAAGGGACGGCTCATCAGGCTCCACATACAAACTTTGTATCGGGGAAGTTTCTGAAAATGAAAAGAATCGAGTTTTTATTTTTAAATTGCCTTTACAAGCTCCACTATATACGATGGAGCCATTATCCAGTTCATGATCAGAGTGGATGAGCGCTCTACACAGCTGGAGGAGGGTTTCTGATCCTTTCCCCCGCTTTGACGTTGACACGACTTTCAATGGATCAAGTGCCTTCAGACATTAATGTTTTGAGTAATTAATGTGTGATAGAAAGGTCAAGTGATGGTAAAAAATAATACCAAGGAGCTTGGCTTCTTTTACTATGTTGATAGGAGTTCTATTTCAAACTAAATCAGAGTCCTTTTGTGGCTTATATTTTCTACAAAAGTGTACACAGTTTGTTTTAGTTTTAAGCGACAATTTATGGATTTTATTTAAACATAGATGGAGTTGCCTGTCAATACTATGTTTTGTCCACGACAAGAAATGTTTAAATCATCCACAAAAAGTGATCCATCAATTGATTCATTTAAAACTTTTGATAAACTATTGATCTTTATGCTGAATATTGTGACAGACAGCATACTGCCTTGTGGGACACCCTGATCCTGATTATAATGATCAGACAGGGTAGAACCCACGCGGACTCGAAATTGTCAGTCTGTTAAAAAGTTGGATATAAATTGAGACAAACGCCCTCGCACTCCAAAATAATGTAAATATTTTAAGATACCGTGTTTCCATGTAGTGTCATATGCTTTCTAGATCGAAAAAGATAGACACTGCATGTTGTTTGTTTATTATGACATTTTTTTACGAATGATTCTAAACGCACTACATGATCGATACTTCTGTTTTTACGGAAACCACATTGTATGTTCGTAATGAGATTGTTGGTTTCTAAGTACCAATCTAGTCGATTATTTATCATGCGTTAAACAGTTTTGCAAACGCTGCTTGTCAATAAAATTAATCAGTAGTTTCAAGGGTCAGTGTTCTCGCCCGGGTGTAGGTATTGGAACAACAAACTCATCACGCCCAGATGGTGGAAATCTTCCTGACATCCAAATTTCATCAAAATATTTAACTTTGTTTGTAGATATGATTCTGGTAAGTGCTTCAGAAGCTGATAATGTATGTTATCAGCTCCTGAAGCGGTATCGTGATCTTAGTCAAGAGAAGTATGTAGTTCATGAATAGAAAATATTTCGTTGTAATCTTCGCAATTATCTGAATGTATGTTATCAGCTCCTGAAGCGGTATCGTGATCTTAGTCAAGAGAAGTATGTAGTTCATGAATAGAAAATATTTCGTTGTAATCTTCGCAATTATCTGAATTATAATTAATAGTTTTCTTTTCCTGCTGTTTTTGGTACGTTTGGAACTGATGTACGTGGTTTGATGAGGAAGAACGTTTAGCCAAAGTTTCACCAAATTTATTAGCAATATCTGTTTTATCAGTTGACAATTCATTGCCATTTTTTGAAACCAGAATCACCTTGATTTTTTAAATCATGTTCCATACCTTGAACACGAGCTTTCCATACCTTGAACATGAGCCTACGTGAATTTATTTTTGAAACGTTAGCTTGTCAAGATTTCCGTTTATTTTTCTCAAATGTATGCAGTGCCTTAGCATTTACAATTTTGAATTTATGTAAATCATGGACCATTGGATGGTGACGGAAATAATGCTCAGCTTTCTTCCGTGCCTTCCTAGCTTGTTTGCAAGTATCATTAAACCATGATTTACAGATGTGTAGGTTTGCAGAGGACTTAGGAACACATTCAACAGCTTTTTTATTTAGTTCCCCAGAAAACATTTTTATTGAATTAGGAACATCTACAAAACGACTAGGATTTTATTTGCTTGTACAGAGTAACTCGAACAAAAGCCATTCAGCGTAGAGGGAGATCCATCTAGTTGATGGAGGGACATCAGGTGGAGTAATAGTAGAAAAATGGTTACTTCAACAGAGGTCGTGGTGGACTGACCAGTTAAATTCATTTCAAAGTTCAGAGTTTGTGAGTAATACATCAAGAGGCGAATAGGTGTCTGTTCCAGGATGTAAATGGGTTTTAGAGTTTTCGTTAAAAATGCATAAGTCCTTTCCAATATCTTCCCTTTTCTGTTTGTAGCATCACTACCCCCAAAGTGGATTAGGCCCAGTTAGATATCCCATAATGATACAGGGCTTCGGGAGCTGGTCATATAGTGCCTGAAGATCAGTTATTTGAAGGGTGAAAGATGGAGGTACATATAGAGAACATAATGTGAAAACAATGCTTAAGTAAATAGCAATAGCTTTAAGTGGCGTATGTAGAAGGACAAGGCTGTGAATCACGCCCTGCCTCACCAAGATTGTCAATTTGGTCAGTTTTTCTTAAATAAGTTTCTAAATAGACATAATGCCGATGACTTATAATCCTGAATTATTAACTGCAATTTATTGAAATTATTCCGTAGTCCCCTGCAATTCCATTGGATAATATTAAAAGGGTTAATCATGGTGGCTAAACTGGAAGGGAAGCGAAGGAGGTCCACTCCCATGAGCTGGCAGTGTAGGAATAACCTCCATCTCCAGAGGCTCATATGGATTATTAACCTCTACTTGGGGTTGTAACAGGAGAAGGCACCTCCAAATGTTGGAGTGCCCTGGTCTTTCATATTTGTGTCTTTTCCTTTTGGGTCAAATGAGCTTCGCCCACTGCTTCATTGTCATTTGATTTTACTGGTTCATCTGTTTGTTCTTGTATGGGTTGAGCATCTGTCTGAGAGGAAAATATTTGTGGCTCGTGCTGACATATCTGAGTGTGCTCGTCAAGGATTAACTGGTCCTTCTTAATCGGAGAGATAGTTGCTTGACATGAGATGGAAACAATTGTGACTTTGGTGGCAATAGCAGGGGAGGAAATAACAGCTGAATATGTTTGGGATGAAGACTGAGTTCCAGATGGAACTGACCTTTTTATGTGGGTCTCTTGGAGAACAAATGGACAAGAGTTGGAAGAAGCCATGTGATCACCACTTCAGTTGGCACAATTGATGTTTTCCTTGCATTCTGAGCTCTCATTAGCACCACCACAGAGGAAGCATACTGCGTTTTTATGGCAAAACTTGTCACCATGTCCAAACGTTTGGCATTTGTAACCCCAGAGTGGATTAGGTACATAGACCTCTACTCCGATGTTCAAGTAACCTACTTTCATAGATTTTGGAAGAACTTTAAAGGGTCAAAGTAAACAAAAAAGTATTGGTTTTGGTAAAAGTTCCATCTTGTTGTTTCTTTGTAAATCGCTTGGCAGCAATTACACCTTGACTTTTCAACTCAGTTGTGATTTTGTCTTCGCTCATGTCCGGTCCCTGATAATTCCTCGGGTAGAAATCTGTGTCCTGGTGCCGAAACAACAACCTTGGTGTTAAAACAAACTTCTGTAAAAAACAGAAAGTTAACTGATTGTTGCCTCCATGCACACTCCAGTAGGATTGAGCCATCTCGAAGGCGCGTTACCTTTGGTAGTCTCTGCGGACACCTTGGATACCCCTGGAGATCGCTAAAGGGTGTAATGTTAGTGTGTCGCCATCAGCAGGAGCAATGACAACAAATCTCGGCCACGAATCCACAACAGTAGGTGATGCATCTTCATCAGAGAACAAAGCGTCAACGTGTCGACGTTTGTAGTCTTTTACTGACTTCCACAGGACTTGTGGCTGACACACAGTGCAAACTGACCAATTGTGTACGCACTCTGATCATATTCAAAAGCAAGTATTTAAATGGTCCGATACACATTCACATATATTATTTTTAAACCAACTTAGTTAAGTCTATTTCAAGCTTTAAAGCCATTTCAAATCTTACCAATCAAATGGCAGTTGACCTCATTACTATGTACCTTCAAGATATTCTTATGCAAAATGCTTCGGAATACACTTACTTATTAAAAATACCAACGGCCCAATGTGGTCCTATTCAGTTATGATTCATAGGATTAAGATCCAAGTTACGTTCAACAAATCAAATAAAATCAAACAACGTTTTGTAAAAGCGCGACAACGCAACAATGCAACAACGCGACATTTCAACAAAATTTCGCATTGTCGCGCTTTTATTAAATACTGCTTATTTTCAGAATTTTGACAAAATATGATCTAGATGTATGCTCAGTCACAAAAATTACAAATGTGCATACATACAGGTACGTTCGTCAAGAAGGAGCTAAGTCTGTGGGTTAAAGAGTTGTCGGTCATCTGAAGTTTGATGTAAGCAGGGATGTCATGATAGGACTATCTCCCTATACATGAACGATGCGTATCGCGATACTTTGTGCACGATATGATACGCGACTATGAGAGATTCGTGGCAATTTATTGTAAATTTATATATATTTCATAAGGCATACGTACTAAGGTTTAACCTTCCTGAATATCTCGTCTCGAATCCGAAATAAAAATTTCTTTTTTTCAATCAATAATTTATGTTATATAAAACAAGAGTGGCAACTTTCGTATTTTTTTTTATTAAATACAATAGAAAATTCCCTGTTAGCGACATAACTCGAAATTAAATGAATTAAATATGCCTCAATAAAGGTCCATGCGTAATATGATAAAGGATTTAACTATCAATCGATACAGGTAAGTGTGTATCGCGCGTCGTATTGTTTGAGAATAGTATTGATGCATCTGTGTATTAGTGAATCGTAACATCCCCTGGATGAAGAAAATAAGAATCAAATATAGAATTCAGACAGCTCAAAATCATTATTGTGATATACCTTCCTAATTTACCAAGCTTTCAAATCGTCGTATCATCTAAAGGGATATCATGAGTGAGTGAGTATTGTTTAACGCCGCTCTAAACAGTATTTCAGTTATTCCACGGCGTGTCAGCTTGGTGTGCCAGGACTGCCGGACGTGATGTAGTTTCAAACCTGAAATCATAATCAGGACGTATCGGAGAATCGAACCAACGATCATAGGTTTCTGACATGCCAAGGGACACCACTCTGCAAAACGAATCCATCGATTTGGGCGAATGAGCGAGTTTGGGTTATAATGAGTTAAGTTTGCAAAAGCGCGACAACACGACATGTCAGTCTAACCATGTGCCTCATTGTGTGGCAGGACCGAAACCCTAGAAACTCTCAGGCGCAGGCGCACAGTCACCCATTCAGTTATGTCACAGCGTGTCAGCTTGATATAGAAGGAAATCCCCCAGAGAAGCATGTATGTCGCGCTGGGATTCGAACCCACGATCATTGTTTTCTGGTACGTCTAGGAGACGCAACTCTGCACAGTGAGTTGCCCCGTCAATAACGACAGGGCCAACCGTGTGCCCTCATCGATTTCAAAAGGTGTAGGAGACAAGAATTGAATTAAATATAAATTCAAAGAGTATGTTCCTTGCTTTGAAAACACGTATAAAGCGATACCGGCAATAACGACATATGTAATACTTTCTAAAGCAACGATGAAAGATGTGTTATAATTTCAGAAAAAGTAATCAATACTGTCATTGCTACTTTTTAGACTATAAGAGCTAACAAAAGACCACTGGAGTTTGAAAAAGACTATAATCATTTCTGCGCATGCGTAGATTAATTCACTTACTACACATGCGCACTATTAATCGAAAAGGGCGACGATGCGACAATGCGACATTATCAATATGTCGTATTGACGCGCAGTTTAACGCCTTTTTCACACATAATATACTGTATAGATGAGGCGACAAAGGGACCACGCGACATATTTTGACCTTGAAAAATGTCGCATTGTGGCATTGTCGCCCTGTGGTAAAATAAAGATTATTATTCAAAGCGCGACAATGCGACAATATGACAATGCGAAAATGCTACAAATGACCAAATGACAAATGACATTGTCACACTATGGTTAATTGTGACTCTCTCTGCATGTAGTTGTAAGGGTAACAATGGGACCATGTCACTTCTAGGAGAGGCGGTCGGGTAGCCTAGTGGTTAAAGCGTTCGCTCGTCACGCCGATACCCAGGTTCGATTCCCGACATAGGTGCAATGTGTGGATCCCATTTCTGGTGTCCCCTGCCGTATTATTGCTGGAATATTGCTAAAAGCGGCGTAAAACCATACTCACTCACTCACTTCTAGGATTCCATACAAACCCTTACCTTTGATTTTCTCAAGGTTGCAGTTCACACCGTCCCCTTCATACATGTGGTTACAGTGGCACGTGTAGGACCCCAAAGTGTTCGTGCAGTTGGCGTTCTCGTGACAGACGTTGGGAGTACTACATTCATTGTTGTCTGAAATGCAATCAATGCAGCGAATGCAGTAAATGCAACCAATACAGTCTATACAACCGATACAGTCAGTGCAGTCCATACAATTTATATAGTCACTGTATTCAAAGTTGGTTGGTTGGTTCGCACTCAGCAATATTCCAGCTATATGACGGCGGTCTGTAAATAATCGAGTCTGGAAAAGACAATCCAGTGATTAATATCATGAGGATCGATCGACGCGATTGGGCTACTAACATAACATAAGATGTTACCAACACAATACATGATGTTACCAACACAAAACAATATGTTTCCAGCACAATACACGATGTTGCGAACTCAGAGAAGCAATGCTACAACACAATAAACGATTTAATCAAAAACATTACAGTATGTTACCAACACAATACATGATGTTACCAACACAAAACAATGTTTCCAGCACAATACACGATGTTGCGAACTCAGAGAAGCAATGCTACAACTCAATAAACGATTTAATCAAAAACATTACAGTATGTTACCAACACAATACAGTATGTTACCAACACAATACACGATGTAATCAAAAACAATGCAAGACGTTACAAACAATACACATTGTTACGAGCACACATCAGACACAAATTATTAGCACACACCATATAGTGTTATCATTGCTTACCAGACATAAGCTTCCATCACTCTAAACACACTTAAGAACACACATATGTACCATGTGCAGTTACCAACACTGGGAAGCAATGCTACGCACAAATGTACTAACGCAATACACTCTGTTTTTGAAAATAAAACATACATGTTAATATACGAACACGGAGAAGCAATGCTACCAACACAATATAAGATGTTACCAACACAATACAAGATGTTACCAACACAAAACAAGATGTTACCAGCACAATACACGATTTTACGAACACAGAGAAGCAATGCTACCAAGACAATACAATATGTTGCCAACACAATATAATATGTTTCCAGCACAATACACGATGGTACGAACACACAAGACACAAATTATTAGCACACACCATATGGTGCTTTTAACGCTTACCAGACATAAGCTTCCATCACTCAAAACACACATATAAACACCTACGCGTACCATGTGCAGATATCAACACACAGCATACACAGTTATTAAACACACCACACACAGTTATTTACACCCACCACATTCAGTTATTACCACACGCCATACATACTTATTAACACCCACCGCACACAGTTATTAACACCCACCAAACACAGTTATTAACACCCATCACACAGTTATTAACACCTATAACACACAGTTATTAACACCCACCAAACACAGTTATTAACACCTATAACACACAGTTATTAACACCCATCACACACAGTTATTAACAACCATCACACACAGTTCTTCGCCCAGACCACACACAGTTATTAACACCCATCACACAGTTCTTTACATCAACCACACACAATTATTTACAACCACCACACACAGTTATTAACACCAACCACATACAGTTATTTACACCTACCACATATAGGTATTAGCACTCAACACACACAGTTATTAGCACTCAACACATACAATTATTAGCACCCACCACATACAGTTATTAACACTCAACACACAGTTATCTACACCTACCACATACAGTTATTAGCACCCACCACATACAGTTATTAGCACTCAACACAACAGTTATTTACAACCAACACATACAGTTATTAACACCCACCGCATACAGTTATTTACGACCACCACATACAGTTATTAGCACCCACCACGTACAGTGTTAACACTAAACACACAGAGTTATTGACAACAACCAGAAACAATTATTTACACCCACCACACACAGTTATATACACCCACATTCACCACTCACAAATATCAACACACTCTACATATTGATTAACATTAACCATGCTGTTGCACACACGCACGCACACACACACACACACGCACACTGATGAACACTGACCATTTATAGTGTTATAGTCACATGTATCGGCGAATAATCTAGGTTATTCTTTTGTCAATATATATTTACTTAAACTGGGTAGATGTTTCCGGTTTTTATTTTTAAGTCAACGTACCCAAAATCAGTTAGGTCATTGCACGCATGGTGACATCTTGTGATTGGATCTTGTGCTAATGAGTTGTTAAGACAGTTCATTGTCATCTGAGGGGTGATCAGGTTCAATCAATTCAAAGAGCAATCTTACATGTTTGAAGACGCTAGCAAACAGTGTTTGATGGTATATTATAATATACACATGTACAACATTAACAATATCATCTCAAAGACTTAAATATTTAAATACCAATGATAAATATCAATGTGACCACAAATATGACTTGTGACCATAAGTTTATACATATATACTTGAACACCAGTACTTGTTTGGCAGGAGACGAACACACATCAGACAGAAATTATTAGCACACACCATAAAGTGTTATCAACGCTCACCTAAACTTTCGACATACAATTTCACTAAAAACACACGTATAAACACCTACATGTACCATATGCAGATATCACCACATAAGATACGCAGTTATGAACACTTACCACACACTGTTATTAAACACACCCCACACAGTTATTTACACACACCACACACATTTATTTACACCCACCACACACGGTTATTAACACACACCAGACACCAGCTATTTACGCTCACCGCACAGTCATTAACACACACCACACACAAGTTATTAACATTCACCCACACACAACTATTTACCCTTACACTTGCTATAAACGCTAACCCCACACAACTATTTTTACGCAGGCGACATGACAAAAGTTATTAACACTATTCAACATATTGAAAAACAATTAAAAAACAATAATCTACGTTCTGTCTGGGATGGCATTAATACTACCATTGGGACCAACACAAATTTCAAGCTCACAAGAGCGCAGGATTACCGTTTTTTCGTTAATGAGTTGAACATTTTATGTTCATTTTGACACGTATGATTTTTCCTCAAATTATGAAAATGAATGTCTGCCCTTCCAGCAGGATGATAGCTTGGCATTGCTCTGTTATGGAAAAGTTCTAACATTGTACCTCTTCCATAAATCTAAAACCCAACTGTACACGATGACAATCGCCCTGTGGTTTTAACTTCAATAGCTATGAAATGCATTATCAAGATATATGCTGAACAACAAAAGTTCCTGTGACATTGAATAAGATTTAATGCAAAGTTATGTTTTCTACCGAATCTGAAACAATTTCGGTTTGCAAGAGATAAAAGACTCCTGTTCAAATGGTTTATGCGTGATTTCATAAACAAACATGAACATGCCAAAATGTCAATTTACAGTGTGTGTCCACCTCTGGTTGCGATGCAAGCAACACATCTTTGTCTCATGGAATGGAACAGGCGTCGCACAAAGTCCTGTGGGACATCTGTCCATATCTGCTGAAGCATGTTTCGAAGTTCCTGGAGTGTCTGTGGAACACGTGGTTGACGTCGAAGGCGCCGATCCATCTCATCCCACATGTGCTCGATTGGTGAGAGATCAGGGGAGCGAGCCGGCCAGGGGATGACATTCACGTTGTTTTGTTGAAGAGAATCCTGAACAAGTCGAGCAATATGAGGCAGGGTGTTGTCATGTTGAAAGGTAATGCCTGGGCCATGACTACGCAAAAACGGTAGAACAACAGGGCCGATGATCTCGTCGCGGTAGCGCTGTCCATTGAGATTTCCCTCTACCACTATCAAACGGGTCCTCTGTCTTGCTGTAATCCCACCCCATACCATAACGCTGCCGCCCCCGAACCGATCTTTTTTCCATGACACAATGATTGACGTAACGTTCACCTCGACGTCGGTACACTCGAATCCGCCCATCGCTGTGGCTGAGGTGAAAACGAGACTCGTCAGTGAATAGAACTTGTCCCCACTGCATGACCGTCCTGCGAAGACGCTGTCTGCATCACTGTAGATGTGCTTGACAATGGTTTCCTGTCAAAATGGGACGTCTGGCGGGTCTTCTGGCGACAATCCCTGCACATCCGAGGCGACGACGTACGGTTTGTGGAAATATTCGTCGAAGGCCAGGAATGCTTCTTGCAGTCAGTCACCGTTGCTGGCTGGAATCGATTTCGTAGGTGTGTTGCTCGAATCCAGTTGTCTTCTCGATTATTGGTTACGTGTGGCCTGCCACTCCGAGGATGGTCTCTGACTGCATTCGTCTGTTGCCAACGTTGCCATAAACACCAAATGGTGTTTCTGTGGACGTTAACTTGTCTCGCAACATCACGTTGTCTCGATCCTGCTTCAAGCATACAAATGGCTCGCAGACGCTCATTTTCGGACAGGCGTGGCATTTCGTAATGTTGAATAATTGCGTTGTTTTTCTGAGTGGTTGTTGTCAGCACAATGTTACACAATGCATATGGAATCCAGTTAACGCACATGATTTTATACCCATTCTTGGGTAGTGAAATGCATTGGGCTTGCATAAAAGTCAACTTCTGCATGGAATGCATGCTTTTCTGTAGCAGTTGCGTTTTTGTGACTTGATTCCATACATGTACTACAATATTGAAAAACAAACTTTACTTGTTTGAAAAATACACTAAACTATTGGTGTCACAGAAACTTTTGTTGTTGAGTATAATTATTTGTAAGTTCAGCATATTCTCGACCATTGGTAATTTGCATATAGACCGAACAGAGGCATCGAGGACGAAACACGGACTCTTCAGAATGAGATTGATAGCCTTCTAGATAACGGTAAATCCCGTGTAAGAATATTGTTCGTCGATTTTTCATCCGCTTTCAATACCATACAGACTCAGTTAATAACATGGGTGTTCACTCAAATATTGTCAAATGGGTCAAATCGTTTGTCAATTATGTAACAGGCCACAGTTCGTCAGCGTCTCTGGTTCGCACTTTTACAGACACCCCTCAAGGTTGTGTCATCTCGTTCAATATATTTATTTTGTACACAAAAGACTGTATTAGTCGTTTTGCTGATTGTTTTATTGTAAAATGTGCAGACAACGTCTCTTATTTCATATCTTGGTGTATGGATAGTATATTTTTGGAGCGATAACCCATGTTTTATGTCAATTGTTATCGATAGATAATGAGGAAAAAGAAGACAAGTATAAATATCTCGGTACCATCATTGATTCAAAACTCACATGAGATGCTAACACGGAATTTCCTTCTGGATAATAAAGTGTTATCTTATCTCAGTTATCAACACACTCCACACATATTTATCCACTTTTACCATCTCTTGTTATTAACGCACACCACACACAGGTATTCCGCTCACCAACTGTGATGTGTAAACAACAATGATATGTCAACAACTATGACATGTGAAAAACTGTGTTATGTTAACAACTATGACTTACCAACAGCTATAATATCTCAACAGCTAGGACTTGTCAACAACTATAACAAGTCCACAACTATAATATATCAATAACTTCATTATGTTAATGATTATGATATGTCAAAAACTATTATTTGACAATAACTATATCATGTCAACAACTTCAATATTTTAACAACTACGCTATATGAACAGCAATGTGCACAACAACTATATATCACAATCTTTAACCTACAAACAACTATAATATGACAGCAACTATGATTATAAAAAACTATGCTATGTCATTAACTATAAAAACGTCATCAATTACGGACATGTCAACAGTTACGATTATATCAAGGAACATAACATTTCAACAACTATAATAACGATGGAGATATGTTAGAACTATGATATGTCAATAACTGTGGTTGTGGACAGCCATGATATGATAAGAACTAATATATACCAGTAATTACGATATGTCAACAGAAAATATATGTCAACAAATATAATATTGCAACAATTATGCGATTACAAAACAAATCAACGGCCATGATGTGTCATCAACCGATAACAAGTTTTATCATTTAACAATTATGACATGTCAACAACTTTGATTTGTTAACAACTATTACATGCCAACAATTTCACTATGTTAACGATTATGCTATGCTAACAGCTATGTCAAAAACCTTAACATATCAACAAACATAATGTGGTAAGAATTGCGATAAATCAACATTTATGATATGCATGCAAATAGCTATGATATGTCGGCAGCTATGATACGTCAACAGCTATGACATGCTAACAAATATTAATATCCGACAAGTTGCATATGTAAACAGGTATAATATGTCAAGAACTATAATATTGCAACAATTACGATAACTCAACAGCATTAATATATTAACAACGCTTACAACAACGGTCGTCCCCTGGGAACGTCAGAGACCTATGATTGTGGGTTCGAATCCCGGTTCGCCCCAACTATGTTTCTAGGTTTGTCTAGGCACCATACCCGTGCTCGTGGGTTTCATCGAAGTGGTAAACGTCTGAGACCTACATCACTTCGGGCTTTCCTCCCACATTAAGCTGACATGCCGTGATATAACTGGAATAATGTTAAAAGCGGCGTTAAACCCAACTCACTCACACACACACATACAACAACGGTTGTATGTCAACGGCTACAATAAATAAACAACTGTAATCCATGTATGTCATGAACTATGAAGCATCAACAGCAACAACTGTGGTCCATGTATGTCATGAACTATGAAGCATCAACAGCAACAACTGTAATCCATTTATGTCATGAACTATGAAGCATCAACAGCAACAACTGTAATCCATGTATGTCATGAACTATGAAGCATCAACAGCAACAACTGTAATCCATGTATGCCATGAACTATGAAGCATCAACAGCAACAACTGTAATCCATGTATGCAATGAACTATGAAGCATCAACGGCAATGACTGTAATCCATGTATGTCATGAACTATGAAACATCAACAGCAACAACTGTAATCCATGTATGTCATGAACTATGAAGCATCAACAGCAACAACTGTAATCCATGTATGCCATGAACTATGAAGCATCAACAGCAACAACTGTAATCCATGTATGCCATGAACTATGAAGCATCAACAGCAATGACTGTAATCCATGTATAACATGAACTATGAAGCATCAACAGCAACAACTGTAATCCATGTATGTCATGAACTATGAAGCATCAACAGCAACAACTGTAATCGATGTATGTCATGAACTATGAAGCATCAACGGCAATGACTGTAATCCATGTATGTCATGAACTATGAAGCATCAACAGCAACAACTGTAATCCATGTATGCCATGAACTATCAAGCATCAACGGCAATGACTGTAATCCATGTATGTCATGAAGTATGAAGCATCAACAGCAACAACTGTAATCTATGTATGTCATGAACTATGAAGCATCAATAGCAATGACGTGTCAAGAACGATCACATGTCAACAGCTCTAATATTGCAACATTTGCGACATGTAAACAGCTATGGTCTGTTAACAGTTCTACTATAACAATTACGATATGTCAACAACAATGCCTGACAAACAATTACAACATGTAACCAACTATAATATGTAAACAAATACGATATGTCAACAGCTATGATACTTCACCAACCATGATATGTCAACAGCTATAATGTCAGCAGCTATGATATGTCAACAGCTATGATATGTCAACAGCTATGGTATATCGAAAGCTGTGATATGTCAACAGCTATGGTATGTCGACAGCTGTGATATGTCAACAGCTATAATGTCAGCAGCTATGATATGTCAACAGCTATGATACTTCACAAACCATGATATGTCAACAGCTATGATATGTCAACAGCTATGGTATGTCAAAAGCTGTGATATGTCAACAGCTATAGTATGTCGACAGCTGTGATATGTCAACAGCTATAATGTCAGCAGCTATGATATGTCAACAGCTATGATACTTCACCAACCATGATATGTCAACAGCTATGATATGTCAACAGCTATGATATGTCAGCAGCTATGATATATCAACAGCTATGATATGTCGCCAGCTATGGTATGTCAAAAGCTATGTTATGTCAACAGCTATGGTATGTCAACAGATATGATATGTCAACAGCTATGATATGTCACAACTAGGATAGGTCAACAGCTATGATATGTCAACAGCTATGATATGTCAGCAACTATGAAAGGTCAACAGCTATGATACTTCACCAACCATGATATGTCAACAGCTATATATAATGTCAACAGCTATGATATGACAACAACTATGATATGTCAACAGCTATGGTATGTCAACAGCTTTGATATGTCATAAGCTATGATATGTCAACAAGTATGATATGTCATCAGCTATGATATATCAACAACTATGATATGTCAACAGTTATAATATGTCACAAAATATGATATGTCAACAGCTATAATATGTCACCAACTATGATATGTCAACAACTATGATATGTCAACAACTATAATATATGAACAGCTATGATAAGTCAACAGCTATGATACGTCAGCAGCTATGATATGTCAACAGCTATGATACGTCAGCAGCTGCGATATATCAACAGCTATGATCCGTCAGCAGCTATGATATATCAACAGCTATTATGTGTCAACAGCTATGATATATCAACAACTATGATTTGTCAACTAGTATGATATGTCAACAACTATAATATGTCAACAGCTAAGATAAGATTTAGAAGAGTACAACACATTACCTGCACATGTCCATCCGTCACCGTTAAAGCCTGGTTTACACGCACAAGTGTAGGAGCCGACAACGTCGGTGCAGTCTGCATTTACGTCACAGTTGTTGGATCCCGTTAGACACTCGTTCTCCTCTGAAAACCAACAACGAATGCATGTTGTTGTAAGCCGCGATCAGCATGCCTAACGACAGTCTGTGAATAATTAAGTCTAGAACAGGCGAGGATTATCTTTTTTTCTGGGAATAAATTATCTACTAACGTCTGAATTTTAATTTCCGATGTCGGTTAAGCCATCAAGTTGTGTAAGTGGATCTACAAACAATGATAATGATTCTATTTGTTTGTTGATCGTTTAACACTGAAAGCATTTAACAATATTCAAGGAATGTGAGGGCTCTGGAACCTGTCACAGATCTCATGGTACCAGGCACACACAGCCACACAGCCACAGACACACACACACACACACTCATCCACATGCAGACACACAGCCACACAGACACAGACACACACAGACACACACACACATACACGTGTAGTCGTGTAAATGCAGTACTCTTAAACACATCGTCACTTGGCCACCTGTGCCCCCACCCCTCACAGATCTCATGGTTTGGCACAGAGTCAGTGTCTTCCCTAACTCACCCGAGCAGGTTTGGCCATCACCTGTTAATCCAGGGTTGCATACGCACGTGTCATTTTGACGTTTGTTCAGACAAACAGCATTGGTACCGCATGGAACGACAATGTCTGCACAGTTGTCTGGATCTGAAAAATAAAACTTAAAAAGAGTCTTGTCTTTTGATGGCTTTTGTTTGACGCTGCATTCAGCATAATTTATAAAGTAAAGAAAATTCAGTTTTCGCGCATCGGCCTGTGCATCATCGAGTCTGAACCAGTTACACCAGTGGCTGGTATTATGAACAACGTCACCAACAACGTCATCAACACAATCACCCAGCCTAACCAGCAGCTACTGTTGGGTACCAACACAAAGTATCCTTCCATGGTTCCATCGGGGATGCAGACTATTATGCCATTAATGTGTAATCCTGGGATGCCAGCCTCAGTGTAATCCTAGGATACCAGCCCTAGCGTAACCCTTGGATACCAGCCATAGTGTAATCCCTTTTAGCAACCATAGAGTATTCTTGTTATACCAGTCACAGTTTAATCTTGGTTTTCCGCCCATAGAGTAATCCTAGTATACAAGCCATAATATATTCCGTGGATTCCTCCCACATTAAGCTGACACGCCGTGATATAACTCGAATACTGCTAAAAGCGGCGTAAAACCAAACTCACTCACTTACTAACTTCTCTGTCAAGGTGTATTGTGAAAATGAAAGTTACTCTGAGAAGCATGATTGTGAACATAAACCTTTCTCCTGTAAAGTACTAATGTGAACACGGACCATCGATCTGTAAAGTATTATTGTAAACATACATTGTTCCATGAAAATTATTATTGTGAACATGATATTTTGCCAACAATAGTGTATTCTTGTTATACCAGTGAGAGTGTAATCTTGGTTTACCGCCCATAGAGTAATACTGATATACAAGCCATAATATATTCCGTGGATATCAACCATAGTGTATTCTTGTTCTACCAGTCACAGTGTAATCTTGGTTTACCGCCCATAGAGTAATCCTGGTATACAAAACATAAAATATTCCGTGGATACCAGCCATAGTGTATTCTTGTTATACCAGTGGCAGTGTAATCTTAGTTTACCGCCCATAGAGTAATCATGGTATTCAAGCCATAAAATATTCCGTGGATACCAGCCATAGTGTATTCTTGTTATACCAGTGACAGTGTTATCTTAGTTTACCGCCCATAGAGTAATCATGGTATACAAGCCATAAAATATTCCGTGGATACCAACCATAATGTCTTTTTGTTATACTAGTAACAGTGTAATCTTGGTTTACCGCGCATAGAGTAATCCTGGTATTCAAGCCATAAAATATTCCGTGGATACCAACCATAGTGTATTCTTGTTATACCAGTCACAGTTTAATCTTGGTTTTTACCGCCCATAGAGTAATCCTGGTATACAAGCCATATTATATTCCGTGGATTCCTCCCACATTAAGCTGACACGCCGTGATATAACTGGAATGCTGTTAAAAGCGGCGTAAAACAAACTCACTCACTTACTAACTTCTCTGTCAAGGTGTATTGTGAAAATGAAAGTTACTCTGAGAAGCATGATTGTGAATATAAACCCTTCTCCTGTAAAGTATTAATGTGAACACGGACCATCGATCTGTAAAGTATTATTGTAAACATACATTGTTCCATGAAAATTATTATTGTGAACATGATATTTTGCCAACAATAGTGTATTCTTGTTATACCAGTGAGAGTGTAATCTTGGTTTACCGCCCATAGAGTAATACTGATATACAAGCCATAATATATTCCGTGGATATCAACCATAGTGTATTCTTGTTCTACCAGTCACAGTGTAATCTTGGTTTACCGCCCATAGAGTAATCCTGGTATACAAAACATAAAATATTCCGTGGATACCAGCCATAGTGTATTCTTGTTATACCAGTGGCAGTGTAATCTTAGTTTACCGCCCATAGAGTAATCATGGTATTCAAGCCATAAAATATTCCGTGGATACCAACCATAATGTCTTTTTGTTATACTAGTAACAGTGTAATCTTGGTTTACCGCGCATAGAGTAATCCTGGTATTCAAGCCATAAAATATTCCGTGGATACCAACCATAGTGTATTCTTGTTATACCAGTCACAATGAAATCTTGGTTTACAACCCATAGAGTAATCCTGGTTAACAAGCCATAATATATTCCGTGGATACCAACCATAGTGTGTTCTTGTTATACCAGTCACAGTTTAATCTTGGTTTTTACCGCCCATAGAGTAATCCTGGTATACAAGCCATATTATATTCCGTGGATTCCTCCCACATTAAGCTGACACGCCGTGATATAACTGGAATGCTGTTAAAAGCGGCGTAAAACAAACTCACTCACTTACTAACTTCTCTGTCAAGGTGTATTGTGAAAATGAAAGTTACTCTGAGAAGCATGATTGTGATCATAAACCCTTCTCCTGTAAAGTATTAATGTGAACACGGACCATCGATCTGTAAAGTATTATTGTAAACATACATTGTTCCATGAAAATTATTATTGTGAACATGATATTTTGCCAACAATAGTGTATTCTTGTTATACCAGTGAGAGTGTAATCTTGGTTTACCGCCCATAGAGTAATCCTGGTATACAAAACATAAAATATTCCGTGGATATCAACCATAGTGTATTCTTGTTCTACCAATGACAGTGTAATCTTGGTTTACCGCCCATAGAGTAATCCTGGTATACAAAACATAAAATATTCCGTGGATACCAGCCATAGTGTATTCTTGTTATACCAGTGACAGTGTAATCTTAGTTTACCGCCCATAGAGTAATCATGGTATACAAGCCATAAAATATTCCGTGGATATCAACCATAATGTCTTTTTGTTATACTAGTAACAGTGTAATCTTGGTTTACCGCCCATAGAGTAATCCTGGTATACAAAACATAAAATATTCCGTGGATACCAGCCATAGTGTATTCTTGTTATACCAGTGACAGTGTAATCTTAGTTTACCGCCCATAGAGTAATCATGGTATACAAGCCATAAAATATTCCGTGGATACCAACCATAATGTCTTTTTGTTATACTAGTAACAGTGTAATCTTGGTTTACCGCGCATAGAGTAATCCTGGTATTCAAGCCATAAAATATTCCGTGGATACCAGCCATAGTGTATTCTTGTTATACCAGTGGCAGTGTAATCTTAGTTTACCGCCCATAGAGTAATCATGGTATACAAGCCATAAAATATGCCGTGGATACCATTCATAGTGTATTCTTGTTATACCAGTCACAGAGTAATGTTGGTTTACCGCCCATAGAGTAATCCTGGTATTCAAGCCATAAAATATTCCGTGGATACCATCCATAGTGTAACCTTTGAATACTAGCCCTAGTGTAATCACTGAAACACTATTGCGTATATGGTAGAAGAAATAGTCGTCTAGGGCGCCGCAATTCGATGTGCAGAGTTGCGTCCGTAGGACAAACCAGAACCCTATGATTGTTGCTTCGAATGCCGGTTCGCCCCATGTTTCCAGGTTTGTCAGCACCATACCCGTGCTCGTGGGTTTCAGCGAAGTGGTAAACGTCTGAGACCTGCATCACTTCGGGCTTCCTCCCACATTAAGCTGACACGCCGTGATGTAACTGGAATACTGTTAAAAGCGGCGTTAAACCATTCACTCACTCACTCCGTGTTTAAAATCGGGCAAGGATTCTGTCAACACATGTTACTGACACCATCACTAAGATCGGTCATTGCATGGGTAAACTGCATGAATTTGCAAAATTTAGCTGAACTACAAACTTAAAATAATCTTCTACTTGTTCTCTCATCCAATACCAGAAACTTCCAAAGAACACACTCTCTCTCTCTCCCTCTCTCCCTCCTCTCTCTCTCTCCCTCCTCTCTCTCTCTCTCTCTCTCTCTCATTGAATGATCATCCTCATACACACTCAACCACAACCAGTACCACAAACTTAATATCATCATTCTCAGACACTATCACCCAGTACCACAAAATTGATATAATAAATCTCAGACACTATCACCCAGTACCACAAACTTAATATAATAAATCTCAGACACTATCACCCAGTACCACAAACATAATATAATAAATCTCAGACACTATCACCCAGTATCACAAACATAATATTATAAATCTCAGACACTATCACCAGGTACCACAAAATTAATATAATAAATCTCAGACACTATCACCCAGTACCAGAAATTAATACAATAAATCTTAGACACTATCAACCAGTACCACAAACTTAATATAATAAATCTCAGACTCTATCAACCAGTACCACAAACTTAATATAATAAATCTCAGACACTATCAACCAGTACCACAAACTTAATATAATAAATCTCAGACACTATCATCCAGTACCACACACTTAATATCATCATTCTCAGACACTATCAACAAGTACCACAAACTTACTATAATCATTTACAGACACTATCAACCAGTATCACAAACTTACTATTATCATTTACAGTCCCTATCAACCAGTATCAGAAACGTAATATTATAATTTTCAGACACTATCAACCACTACCACAAACTTACCAGTATCATTCTCAGACTCTATCAACCAGTATCACAAGCTTACTATTATCATTCTCAGACGCTATCAACCACTACCACAAACTTACTATTATCATTCTCAGACACTATTATCCACTACCACAAACTTACTATAATCATTCTCAGACACTATCAACCACTACCACAAACTTACTTTGATCATTCTCAGACACTATCAACCACTACCACAAACTTACTATTATCATTCCCAGACACTATCAACCACTACCACAAACTTACTATTATCATTCTCAGTCACTATCAACCACTACCACAAACTTACTATTATCATTCTCAGACACTATCAAACCACTACCACAAATTTGATATAACGCTCTTAAACAATACATCCTTGAAATACTAATATAGCTGCAATATTGCTGAGAGCGGCGTTAAACAACAAACAAACAAACCTGATACTAGGATCTTAAAATAATCATCAACAAGCTCTCTCACCAAGTACTAGAATCTTGAAATAATTATCCTCGAACGTACTCATTCGTTACTATAAATGTGATCAGATCATCCTCCGAAATTCCCCCTCACAATATAACAACCTTGAAGTATTTCATGAATTAATCAAACTTGAAAATAGCACCCTCAGACACTCTCTCTCAAAAGCATTCCACGACGCTCTCAAATAATACTAAAAACATGAACAGATCATCCTCAAAAACTCATCCCTTAATACTTCAAACATAAAATAACTCTCTTTCTCTCATGGGGGCACGGGTGGCCCAGTCGTCAGGCGCCGCGATTCGCTGTGCAGAGTTGCGTCCCTTGGGCACGCCAGAAACCTATGATTGTGGGTTCGAATCCCAGTTCACCATACCCGTGCTCGTGGCCTTGATATAATCTTTCTCAGACCTATGATATGCCAGCTATGATATTATATGCTGGCATATATCTATGGCATTTGTCAAGAGCTATGATATATGATATAATATATATGCCAGCATATCATATATGATGGTCATAGCAGACCTATGATATGCCAGCAGTTATGATATGCCAGCAGCTATGATATATCAACAACTAAGATGTATATGGTCTCAGGTACCCTTGTACTGATTAGTATTGATATTACTACATGCCCTGGTTGCGCAACATGTTTGAATGCTTGAATATATATTTTAAAATGGGTCTGTTGCCTGATTTACTGAAATACACCACCATTATATACTAAGATCTGCCAGCAGCACTACCACTACCATCTACTTATTCTCTCATCCGATACTAGGAACTTCCTTCATCCTCGGGAAAAAACAAACTCTGCCAGTGTGCAGCTATGACCTACTCTCTCTCTTTCTCTCTCTCTCTCTCTCTCTCCCTCTCCCTCTCTCTCTCTCTCTCTCTCTCTCTCGCTCTCTCTCTCAATACTATAGCCTCAATACTACCCTCTCTGTCGTTAAGACGAACTAGAAAAAAAAATTTCCTAGTTCTAGAAGCATGAACAAATCAACCTGAGAAATTCTCACTCAGTAACACAAACTTCTATTAATTATCCTCAAACGCTAGCTCCTAATACGACAAACAAGATCATCCTGAGACAATCACTCTTAATGCTACAAAAGTGAAAACATTATCCTGAGACCATTACCAGAAGTTTGAAATAACGATCATCCCCCGGAAAGCCCCGCTACCAGTGTGCAGCTATGACCTACCCTTCAGTTGCAGGTACGATGCTGTGCTGCTGGGTCTTCTGGTGTAGGAGTCCTTCATGTGAGTGAAGTATTTAGAACACGAAGACGTTTGTTCATCAAACACTACCGACAGACAATTTACATTGTAGAAGCAATCCACAGCGCATGCCAAGTAATTTATCGCTTTATGACTTCCTAAAGTATAGACGTCATAGATGAATCCGTCCAGCGATAGTGACTTTTCAAACTGATCCACTCCACAATTGTTGTTCATGAAAAAATATGACGAAACTCCTTTCGAAACGAACACAAAATTAAAAAGAAACGCACACCATTTGGAAACCATTTTCAAATAAATGTGTAGCGGTTTTTCTTCTACACGACAGGAGGAACCGTATGCATTTGATGTTAAGTGCCTGACGAGGTATCCAGGGAATAAATCAGAAGTCCCACAGTGGCTGGCTAAAGCTTCCACTGTTTAAAATCAACGCTCTCCATTGGGTTCGGAAGGTAATTGAAATAACACTGATGAATCAGACGGCGAGTCAGTAGGGAGACTTTGAGATTGATTCAGAAAATCAACAAATCAATAAACCATCTTCATGGGCGGTACTTTGTTTGTGGAATCATGTTTCTTAACCGTTAGCCGATAATGTTGCACTGTTATAACTATAAGTTGTTAGCATGAAGTTATCCAAAAAATTGTTTACATAAAATCGCACATCCGTTAAACTGTATGCTTTGAATGTTATAAATGTTCATGCTCATCCCACTTGCTAAAATATTTTCACAGGAAACTAATTGTGTGATATCACACGTTACCTCCTAAAAGATCAGTCAATGATGATTTGACATAAGTGCTTTCAGGAGTTTATATTATTAAGATCTAACACAAGTGAATCAAAATATGCACTGTGGTATAAAAAAACGTTACAATGTCATAAGCGAACGTCGCCACATCTACAGACTGGAAGTATTTTTCAATGTCATGTGTAATCTGGTGTTTGTGTCTGTGTTTTTTTTTGTATAAAGAATGTATGCATGTATGTACTCATATGTGTATTTACATCTTAGTGCTGGTGTATTAATGTACAAATGCGGAATATATTAACTTCTGTCTGTATGTCATAGTGTATCTTCGGTCAATACATGTATGTGTCTGTGTGTTGTGGGGGTTGATATGCGTAAGTAGTATAGGGAATAGGGTTTCTGGACCACTGCCACCAAGACCACATTCACACTCCAATAATGCTAGTACAGTGAGTGAGTGAGTGAGTGAGTGAGTGAGTGAGTGAGTGAGTTGGGTTTAACGCCGCTTTTAACAGTATTCCAGTTATATCGCGGCGTGTCAGCTTAACGTGGGAGGAAAGCCCGAAGCGATGCAGGTCTCAGACAATTACCACTTCGATGAAACCCACGAGCACGGGTATGGTGCTGACAAACCTAGAAATATAATCGGGGCGAACCGGGATTCGAACCCACAATCATAGTTTTCTGGCGTGCCCAAGGGACGCAACTCTGTTTGAATGTTCTACCATTGAATAATTCTTCTTTATACTGTTCGTGTTTGATATGCTTTTTACCATTACCTCTTAACGCCTTTAGCTTTTCTTATCTTCTCATTATCAGACTTTTTTTTATATAGAATACGTCTTAGGTCTTTATCCAACATACTCTGCAATAGTTCCAGCACATTCATCCTTCATCTCACCTGATACCTTTTTATTTACTGTGCTGTGCAATGGATTATCTTTTGGGTAATCGTTCGTATCGTACATGTCTATTTTTTCTGCCATATCTTTATACACATCCTCGGTTTGTATTTCCATCACCAAAGAATCTGTATCAGTATATAACACCTCGCATCTATCACCGTATTGCCTCTTAAGTTCATTGTAATAAAAGACATACATTAAGTGTTTTGACAAGTCAAGAATACTCTTACCAACGTACACTGGTCTGTTGAATTTTAAACCACTCTTCCGCATATGTAATGCCGCTAAGTCATTATCAATTATCTTACTAATATTAAAAGCTGGACTAGCTATAAGTTTCCTCAGTCTTTCTTCCTCATTAGATCTCGCCAATTTAACATCAACAAGCTTTCTTAGATTCTCCATAGTTTTACCAAATACTGAGGTATTCATGAGCTTATATAGGTTCTTTTCAAAATCGCTAGTAGCCATCTGGAGCGGTCGGGTAGCCTCGTGGTTAAAGCGTTCGCTCGTCACGCCGAAGACCCGGGTTCGATTTCCGACATGGGTACAATGTGTGAAGCCCATTTCTGGTGTCCCCCGCCGTGATATTGCTGGAATATTGCTAAAAGCGGCGTAAAACCATACTCATCCATCCATCCATATTAGCCATCTTTCTTAAATCTGTGTCCAGCCTTATACAGGGCTCCATCCAAGGTCTTCTATCAAACTTAAAAACTCTGTGTATTGTCTTTAGTTTCATGCCTTATGATAGATAAAACTGAGATTCTATAGTGGACTATTTATTTGGTCTTATCCATCAAATTTGGTACGAGTATTTCTATGTCAGTTAACATAGTCTTTCCCATCAAGTTACGTTGATATTCTAACATCCCATTTCTATTTACCATTAATCTTTCGGGAGCAAGTTAGTCGCTCCCATGCCAAATGACCAAGACTATATGTTATTGAGTCGTCAAGCATTAAAGATGTTAGCTTAAATTTGGTTACTGAATTCAATGATTTCAATGAATTCAAAAAATAACTTTGAGAATATACCCCCAAGCGCTACACTTATTGTGGAATTCTTTATGGGGGATGCCGTCGACGTCCATTTTAAGATTGAAAATCTCGACGCTTTTCCAGATATTTTGTGAACATAAATCTTTCTCTGCAAACCATTATTCTGAACATTAACTTTCTCTGTAAAGCAGTATTGTGAACATAAACCTTTATCTGTAAAGCATTATTGTGAACATAAACCTTTATCTGTAAAGCATTATTGTGAACATAAACCTTTATCTGTAAAGCATTATTGTGAACATTAATTTCCTCTGTAAAACATTATTGTGAACATTAACCAAACTCACTCACTCAATTCTCTGTCAAGGTGTATTGTGAAAATGAAAGCTACTCTGAGAAGCATGATTGTTAACATGAACCCTTCTCCTGTAAAGTATTAATGTGAACACGGACCATCGGTCTGTAAAGTATTATTGTAAACATACATCTTTCCATGAAAATTATTATTGTGAACATGATATTTTGTTTATAACTGGCATAAAGTTAAAAGCGGCGTTAAACCCAACTCACTCACTCTAATACAAGTACATTTGAATACATTTTCTTTTAGTCTCTTATCGATCATCTGCAGTTCCCGTTTAGCTCTATTGCTGGCCAAGGTGATACAACTCTATACACCACGCTGCGTGCCATGGAGGAGAGGAATCAGACTTCACTGGCCCTCCACCCTCCAAGCATGGGCTAATATCAATATTCAGTAATTCGAGGTACACAAATTGAGATGTCATCCGGTCATTCAAAGTGTGCTAAATCTGTATCAGAACGTTACACCTGAATTCCGTACACTACATTGCAATCAATGTGTTTCTGTTGCAATATTCACTGTACATTAATCGACATATTGATGTTATGTTTAGAAAGTTCAAAGTAGAACATGTACCTGATGCACAGAGAGTATGCGAGACGTCGGAATCAATGAGAAGCACTCAGCGGAAAGAGTCGGTGTGTCGGAACGTCTCCATAGTTTCATGTTCACATGACGAATCATATACATATATATCATGTTATCTGTCACAACTGTACGTTGTTCAATACGGATCTTGTATACTAAGTAGGTTGTAGTGTACTCTTAAATGGGTATCCATATTGCTCTTAGTAACACGGTATTACATCATGGTATATGGCTGTAGACGGCTGCGCTGTTTTTTGTTCGTTTGGTGTCTTGCACAGTCAGCAATATTCCAGCTATGTCATGATGGCCTGTAGATTATCGAGTGTGGAACAGGCAAACCAGTGATTGATATCACGAGCGCCATCAACTATGTCACCAAGTCTGACAACCCGATGCAACTTCGTCCAGCAAGGGGATGCTGGAAACCCTGTCTAACCCGTCTTCCCATCAGGGGGAAAAATAAATATGTAAATAAAAACAACAAAACCCTTTCCATATTCCTAACCTCTGCTAAAAGCAGATTCGGTTTTGAGATTCCGACTGTATCATGAGCATGTGTTTGTGAAAACTATCAAATAGTAAAACTTCAATGCCAGTATGTGTTATCCATTAATTGCGTCTACTTTGTCATCCGTCAGCTTCTAAGTAATGCCTATCACACAATTTCTTTGAGATATTGTAAGTATAGGTTAAACTACGACATTCCAATGTTAAACGTTTACATGGTCAGTTAAGCCCTGAGAACATTTCTCACGTACACCCCGCTCTTTGACTACTCTGGTTGCGAAATGTATGTCCAGGGCATAGGGGACCAACTCGAGAACATATATCAATAACCTAAATATGACTTGCCCACGTTTGTGGATGTATTATACGCATACATAACAAGCTCAAGAAAAGAGAATTGTAGCAAAAAACTACCAAAAATCACACTATTAGTTGGAGAACATACGAGTTACATTGCATCAGGACAAGCGTCCAACTTCACTACTTTTGGCCTTTGACAAAAATTCTACGTGGATATTATTTGAAAAATAAACCAAATTTGTGTGTGGTCTGTATTTGAACTGTGTGAGTGATCTTTGAGAGATGCGCGTGGATGATGTGCCCTGCAGCTGCTGCACGTGTACCAAGCTCTGTCTGGACCAGTGATTGACATCATGAGCATCGATCCGTACAGTTGGGATACGATGACATGCATGACAAGTCAAATCTTACAACAAGCTTAGTCGCCTCTCACGACAAGCATGGGATGTTGAAGACGTATTGCAACCCGGATCTTCACGGGTCTCTTGACAAGTTCTTGGCGTCCTCAACAGGTGTTTTAACAATCGCTTCAAGTTTTAAAGACGCTGAAGGATATGACAGGGAATATAGAGCCCTGAACAACGATATATGGAGAGGTTATCGCGAATATTGTTTGACGGATAAACGAAAGTACACACCCATTTTTGTTGGTGGCGAATGAAACAAAAAATGGTTATTCGATGGTAATGTAATTGATACGGGTATCACAGTTCTGTTGTGGTTTGGACCAGCGATTGTTTTCAGCCAAGTAACGTTTTGATAAATTTTGTAATTTTTTGGCCAAACTCAATTGTGAAGTGTATTCTTTCTTTTACCCGGCAGTATATATTTGCTGAAAAATCCCTACAGTGCATCTTAAAATATTTCAATGCCCAACGAAGGGTGCATTGATCGCCTTCCGTCTATTATCAAATGTCAATGAAAGAATGTAAATTTTCAGTTCGATAGTGGAATAATGAATAAATCAAAGCAATCGATTTTTGACATTTTTTTAGAAAAGGACAAACACTTACG